GGTTCGGGGTTTAGGGTTGAGGGGTTTGGGGTTTAGGGTTTAGGGCTTAGGGTTTAGGGTTTAGGGTTTAGGGTTTAGGGTTTAGGGCTTAGGGTTTAGGGTTTAGGGTTTAGGGCTTATTGGAGCCCTAACTGAAAAAATCACAGAAGGGTTTGGGGGGGTCCAATACACCATAGAGGGGGGGATAAGAACACAAGCTCGCCTAAACCCGAACATCTAAACTCCCATGTTAGAGGTTTATGGTCCTAAGGCTTCTTGACCCGAAGGGTTCTGGCCTCAGAGCTGTTACATCAGGCTCCTCGTTGTACTGACTTGTCTTTGGGCCGTTGAGGTAAGGCCCCTTCGACCGACCACAGGGCTATCTGTCGGGCATTAAAGCTTTAACCCTAAACCCTAAACCCGAAGCCCTAGACCCTAAACCCAAAACCCAAATCCCTTAGCTAAACCTTCAGTCCTTTCGTTATGCTGCACACCACTCGTCGCTCATGATGTTCGAAGTTACCCTAAGGGTCCAAGTACCTAATAATCATATACTCTCCCAAATATTAACCTAGATAACCACTATCCGCAACCAAAGTACCTGATTACTGGGTCCTCTGGACCCTTAGGGTTAGGTTTGTACCGTTATTTGCAGTGGGCTTCGTTGTTCTTTGAGTATAGAAAGCAGTCGACTCCCAGGTCGTTTACGGTTTAGGGTTTAGGGTATAGGGTTTAGGGTTTAGGGTTTAGGGTTTAGGGTTTAGGGTTTAGGGCTTCTGTGGGGGTTTAGGGTTTAGATTTTACTGATTTGGGTTTTAGGGTTTTAATAGGGTTTAGGGTTTAGATTTTACTGATTTGGGTTTTAGGGTTTTAATAGGGTTTAGGGTTTAGATAAAACGCGGACCAAGTTGCGACCCTGTCGCACGAAACGCTTTTCGGGATGTGGTGTGAGGAAGAATGCCAGGGCAGCGTCATCGTCCGAATCATCATCATCGTCAGCATCGTGGGCAGGATCAGCAACGGCATGGTCAGAGTGAGCATGCTGAGCCAGGGCAACGTCAGAATCATAATGACCGACATCATGCTCACAAAAACCAAAGCAAGAAGTCCCACCCGTTTTAGCAAGGAGGGCGAAGACTGTGAAAAGGGCCCGAGTTGCGCTTCAAAGTGACGCTGAGGTCCGGAAAAGTCTCGCGGAACCATTCCGGCGCAGCGCCAAACTTCTCCATTGGAAAATTGCACGGACCCCCAGCACTTTCTTTGTCCTTCTGCTGTTCTGCGCCACCAGGCGTTGCACTGCAACGCTGCATGTCCATCTGCGATGTCGTGTCTCTGCAAGCGCAAAAACTCGAAAAACTCGCAGCGCGCCCCACCCGAGGGACTGCGGCACGCTGGGTCTGAGGGCTGAGCCCTCAACCCTAAGCCCTATAAACCCTAAGCCCGAAACCCTAAGCCCTAAACCCCGACATCGCAGAAGCCAAGAAGATAGAGTCAACTAAAGTCAAAGAAGCTTTAGGGCTCAGGGCGTGAGGTACGTAGGAGCCTTAAAAACTGGACTAGGGCTCCTTTAAAGGGGTCTATAAAGGGCTCTATAAGGGCTAAGGGTAGGGTTCCTTTAAAGGGGTCTATAAAGGGCTCTATAAGGGTTAGTATAAGAGCTACTATAAGGGTGTAATGTAGGGGCCTTGACAAGTAGAACAGGGCTTTGGAGTATATGATACCATATTGTGAGCAGGAACCCCCCAAAATAGTAATGGGACTTTTTTCGGCGTCTATATTAGGGTTGGGGTTCAAGATTTAGTTTTGGGGCTTTGGGTCTGGGGTTCGGGGTTTTGGGCTCAGGTTTAGGGTTTGGTGTTTAGGGTTTGGGGCTTAGAATTTAGGGTTTGGGGTTTGGGGTGCAGGATTTCGGGTTTTCAATTTAGGGTTTAGGGTTTGGGGTGCAGGGTACCATGGTTTAAGTCATACTGTTGATGGACAAATTCTGCATGACCCAAATATAGTATAGTACCATAAATCCCAGAGTTTAGGTATATAAGGTCATGCAGGATTTTGTCCATCAACCGTATGTCTGAGCATTCAACCAACGCCGTCTTTTCCGCATTCACAGCTCCGCACGTCGGGGCGGCTCTTGGGCGAGGCGTGCCAACAGCCCAAGAAGCCTGTGGCTGTAGTAGAGCTCGCGCTTTATGGCTTCGAAGGGCTTAGGGTAATGTAGGGTTTAGGGTTTAGGCTTCGAAGGGCTTAGGGTTTAGGGTTTAGGGTTTAGGGTTTAGAGTTTATGGTTTAGGATGGTTTGGGAAAAAATACTATACTTCTAGCAAGGAACCCCCCAAAAGAGTATTGGAAAATATTTAGGCCCCGACGTTAACGTGTTTTTGTTGACGGCTCTAGGGCTTTTGGGTTGAAGAACCTGCCCCACGGGCTTATTGGCAGGCCTTGAAAGTCATGACCCTTTGCTTGGGGAGTGAGTAGTTTTTAGGGCTCAGAGTTTAGAGTTTAGGGTTTAGGGTTTAGGGTTTAGGGTTTAGGGTTTAGGGTTTAGGGCTTAGGGTTTAGGGTTTAGGGTTTCGCTTCTTTAAGGCTCAAGGCTTCAGGTGCTTGACGTATGTGCTCTTTAGTGGAAGTTGCAGATGCAGGAGACTTCCGGAATGTAGGGCCGAGGACTCCTCGTTGGTGGTAATCAAGAACCTTCCGATGTCCGAAAAAAAGGCTAGAACCTAAACCCTAAACTACTAAACCCCTAAACCCGAAACCCGAAACCCTAAACCCTAAACCCTAAACCCTGAACCCCCGAACCCTGAACTAACAAACCCTCAAGACGAACCCTAAGCCTGAAATCCCAGACCCAAACCCCAAACCCTAAATCTTGAACCCAAAACCCTAATGTAGAAGCGTACCAAAAAGTCCCATTACGGGTTTAGGGTATTGGGTTTAGGGTATAGGGTTTAGGGTTTAGGGGTTAGGGTTCTTTAGCTTATCATGCAATCAAACTATACCATACCCCAAAACCCCCGAAGCCAAAATCTGTTTGTAGAGGATACAACCCATACAAGCACTCTTAGAACATCTCCACCACAAAACTTCGACTCCCTAAAGCCCTGAACCCTAGCCCTAAAAACCCTAAACCCTAAACCCTAAACCCTAAACCCTAAACCCTAAACCCTAAACCCTAAAACCTCAACCCTAGACTTGAAGCCCTAAATCCTGACCCTAAGCCTTAAACGCAAAGCTCTGTGTTACACACCCTGCCATTTCCAGGCGCAAGGGGCAGCTCCCAGTTTCTTGCCACGGAGCTGACCTGCAACACCCACAATGCCTACTGCCCCAAGTCCGGATTGGGCTCAGGGTTTAGGTATTTAGTTTTAAACAGAGAGAGAGAGAGATAATATTTGTAGGTGTATATATGTACATACACACACAGGGATACCAGTAAGTACATAAGTCTGGTGCTTAATGAGAGAGAATTACCGTGATTACGGCTACGGTTGCGATTACATATCTCATTGCTAACGTTAATGTTATTAAACTGATGCTGGTTCTTATTCTTATTGTGGTTGATCTGACTGTCTTTTGTTGTACTTAGGGTTATTGTACAAATGCCCTGCCACAAACCCTACACCCTAAATGGCTAGGCGGCCTCCACCTTCTCACCCGGAGCGTGTGCACCTGCGTCGGCGTCGGCTTCGAATGTGCGCGGTGTTTGCAGTTGGGGTTCAAGGTTTAGGGCTGGGGGTTTAGGGCTAAGGGTTTAGGGTTTGGGGTTTAGGTAGGAACTTCGACTTTTAATTTAGCGTAATTTTCGGGTTTGGGGTGTAGGGCTTTCCTTTTGGATTTAGGAGTTTGAGCCTTTATTCTGGCTAAATAAAGAGGTCATTTACGACTGTGGTGCAAGGATTTAAATTTGAAAGCTGGTGTCCCATGCAACTGGCCGAAGAAGAGCTGAAAGATTAGTTTGCCAGCTCAAGCAGTGGAGGGGCCTGAGAACGCGCATGTGGAGGTTGCACATGAAGATTTTATTGGTTTAGGGCTTTAGGGATTCGGAGGGCGTTAGGGCACGGGACTTAGGGCTTTGGTGAGAACAGCTCATCCGTGAAAAAGAGAGACAGACACCCAGTCGCCGATCCTTCCTCAACTTGAACCCTAAACCCTAGGGTTTGGGGTTTAGGGTAAACCCTACACCCTAAACTCCAAACCCTAAACCCGGTATCTTAGGTGAAGAAACCTAAGTCCGAAATCTCATCCGCACCTAGCCCTAGACCCCGGACACCCTAAAATCCCAGAAAAGACACCCTCACCTCCTGAACCCCGAAACCCTAAACTTGTCTGAGACCCGGAACCCCAAACCCTAAACCCTAAAGCCTTGTATGTCGGGCCCAAAAGAGATCATGTCGATCCCTGGGAGCTTCTCCTGGACACCGCATGACACCACTACTGCTTGAGGGTTTGGGGTTTTAGATGGTTTTAGGGTGTAGGGTTTAGAGTTGAGGGGGTTTAGGGTTGAGGGTTTAGGGTTTAGGGTTTAGGGTCAGAAACCTAGTACGTTACGAAGCCCCCCCTAAACCCGTTAAAACAATGGGTAGTTCTCTAAACTGGGGTCCCTCTTAAGATTGTACGGCACCCTTATTGTAGAGAACTACCCATGTAGATCGCAAGATCTCCAGGCTGCAGTGGGACTGGAGGATGCACGGAAGGCAGTCTACAGCCCCTCCTCCCCACCACAAACCCGAACCCCCATCATCTACTTCGAACTACCAAAACCTACGTTTTACTAGGGTCCCCTAAACCCTAAACCCTAAACCCTATAAATTCCATATTGGGCATTTATAATAAGAACCTGCAAAAAGTAGGTTTTGGCAGGCTAAGGCAGAGACCGTCCTAAGACTGATGGGTTTAGGGTTTAGGGTTCACTGATAACCAGGAGCTTTCAGGAACAGATCAGGCTCCTATATGAAACTCCCAAACCCTCACCCTACACCTCAACTTAAAGACCAAGCCCGGAGATACTGTTAAAATGATATGAATCCTGCACTACCTTAAGGACCCTAAACGATGGGAATTATGATATGGTATATTCCTTATTATGGGTAATGTAGGATTTATATCATGAACCGTAGTGCCTTGAACTTAATAGGGTTCGGCGTATGTTGCACTGCAATCATAATGCAATGGGGTTCTGTCTGTAAGGAGTACTATTACCTCATATCCAAGCGACTATAGACAGTCCTGAACATGTAGCCCGAAGGGCCTGGGTCCATATATAGTACACCTCCAAAACCGGAATTCATCATAAGGGTTCAGGATGGTCTGTTTGAGACCTGATTCCATCATGGTAGTGTAAACCCGAAGCCCTAAACCCCAAACCCCTAAACCCCTAAGCCCTAAACCCAAAACCCCTAAACCGTAAGCCCTACACCCTAAAACCCTAAACCGTAAGCCCTAAACCCCTAAACCGTAAACCCTACACCCTACACCCTAGACCTGAACATATGGACCCTCTGGAAGCCGACAGCTCTGCAGCCACGGCTCTGCAAAGACACCACATTCGAGACCGGCATGGATGGCTGCCACCTTTCTTTTCTTTAGGGCTCAAGGTTGACATGTTTCCGGTCTAGTGCTTAGTGCTTCGGGTTTAAGGTTTAAGATTTAGGGTTTAGGGTTTAGGGTCTAGGGTTTAGAGTTTAGGGTCTAATGTTTAGGGTTTAAGGTTTAGGGTTTTCTGCAATAGCCGGGCCCAACAGGCCCAGCAGGTTCAAACTCTCTCAGGTAGACTAAACATCTAAGGCCGAAATGATGAAAGTTCTCCCATGGGCTACTAGGTTGGCCCTTGGAAGCCTCGGCACAACCCTAAACCCTCAACCCTAAAGAAGATACGATTAGGCCCAACAAGGGGAATTACAGGATGTCCCAAAGGCCTACCTAGGCTATCTAAGACCTCGTCTGCTGCATGACCCTGGCCGTAAGCCCTAAGCCCAGCAATTTACGGCTTAAGACACGAAGGCTCGGGTTAAACCCTAAACCCGAGAAACCCCTAAACCCTAAAACCCCAAACCCTGATCTCTTGACAAGCTCCCAGAAGGATGATGAGCATCCAGGCGTGTTTTGAACTTGTCGGGGTCCCTTCAACGCCAACCCTCGCTAGCCGACCCAGGAAGCCCAAGACCACGTTCGAAGTGTTTAGGGTTTTGGGGTTTAGGGTTTAGGGCTTTTGGGGTTTTGGGGTTTAGGGGTTTAGGAGTTTAGGGTTTAGGGGGTTTAGGGGTTTATAGGGGTTAGGGCTTTAGGGTTTTAGGGTTTAGGGTAGCCGAGCACTACAGAAACCATGCCTGACGGGCCCAAGGACCAAACCAGCAGGGTTTTAGGATACCCAAAACCACCCCGGTCGTAGCATGTTGAATGAGATCCAATCGTATCTTATCTGGGTACTTCGACCTCAAAACCTCCTCCATAACCCTAAATCCTAAACCCTAAGCCCCAAGCCCTGAAGCGTTGAAGCCCGAACCCGAAGCCCTGAACCCTGAACCCATAAATTCTAAGCCATCTCAGCTCTAAACCCTGAAACTCGGTAAAACAATCATAACCCGGCTCTGCAAGCACCTCACCGAAGGGTTTAGGGTTTAGGGTTCAGGGTTTAGGGCTTAGAGTTTCGGGTTTCAAGGAGATCCCCAGCAAAACCAAACTCAAAAAAAGCCGCCAAAAAGGAACCCTTCGAAGGAGTCCTGACCTAAGCCCCTTTTCTAGGAACCCTTGAAAGGAATCCTAAACCCTAAAACCTTTAAGGGTTCCGTCACGGGCTCCTTTGTGTGTTAAGGGCTACGGGTATAGAATGTAGGGTTTGGGGTTTAGAGTTTAGGGTTTAGGGTGTAGGGCTCTCCAAGCAGGCGCAGGCCTCAGGATTTCTGCCTTCCAGCTGCACGAACACTTCCTGGCCACGACCCTCGAAGACCACATGAAGGAATACTGTCAGGGCCTAAACACTTAGAATAGGGTTCCTTTAAAGGAGTCTTTAAAGGGTTCTATACGGGTTAGTACAAGAGCTACTATAAGGGTTTAGTGTAGGGGCCTTAATAATTAGAGTCGGGTTTTGGTGCATGCTATACTATAATTGATAATAAGGAACCCCCGAAAATAGTATAGGTAGTTATTAAGGCCCCTATATTATTTGCGGCCATGCCCAGACCTTCCAAGATCCCTTAATTTAGGAATCCATCTTAACCCTAAACCCTAAAACCCTAAACCATTTGAATTAGAAGAGGATCATCAGCATGAAGTAAGGTATATATCTCCATTCAGGGATGTTGGAAGGTCTGGGTAAGGCATAGAGTCTGAGTTAGCACGGGTTTAGGGCGAAGTGCGTGAGGTTGACGGTTTAGGAAGTTTAGAGTTCAGGATTTACGGGGTATACTGACTAGGATAATGAGAATAGGGCTTCCTTGAGGGTCTTTTAACACGTTATTGTAGGGGCCTTAGAAATTAGGATGGGGTTTCGCGGCATATTTTATAATTATAACAAGGAGCCCCCAAAATAGTATTGGTATTTATTTAGGCCCCTATATTACTATAGTAAAGGTTCCGCCGTGTAGCGACCTTAACAAATAGAACTGAACAGGGTCTTGGGGTACATTGTACTACAACTAAGTAACTATATATTCAGGACCCAAAGGAACAGCTTCAGTAAATATAGTGCGTGAGCCCATAAACCCTCAACGCCAAACTCAAGCCCCAATCCGTTAGACATCGAAAATTGACAACCCCTTTGAATCGGGCCCCTACACCCGGAACGCTCAAGCCCCAAAACTGTACTAAACCGGAAGCAGTAACGCCCTAAACCCTAAGCCATCAACCCCTAAACTCCTGACTCCCCGAACCCTAAACCCCGAAACTCGCGGGCAACTTCTCAGCAAACAAACAACTACCTTCCCTCATGCTCCCACGAGATGATTCCTACAGTCTTTAGTGCCACCCTGTATTCCTATAGTCTGTAGTGCCACGCTGTCTCAGACCGGCGTTGTAGTCACCGCTCTTTAAGTACTCGAGTGCCATGCGAAACTTTGTGGCCCAGATAAGGAGCCTATGGAGTGTCCAATACTTACATGACTGCTTGCATAAACCCCAAAGCCCCTAAAGCTCTGAACCCCCTTCATAAGCCCCTGAACCCCTAAACCCGTAAACCCTAAACCCTAAACCCTAAAACCGCTTTCACCAACAGCAAAAAGCGCCTTGGAGAGCTCCAGAAGCCGAGACTTGGCATTCGGCGCCCACCCTGGGTTTAGGGTTTAGGGTTTAGGGTTTAGGGTTTCCTGACATCTGAGGGGCGGGCGGGAAAAAATCGGCCTTGAAGAGAATAGAGGGTTAAGGGTTTAGGGTTTAAGGATGAGGGTTTAGGGTTTAGGGTCTAGGAAAAATCGGCGTTAAGAGAGTAGTTAGAATATAGGGCTCCAGTAAAGGTGCTTTAAACGGTTCTTATCTGAGGGCGGGTGGAAAAATCGGTGCTTTGGGTTTAGGGTTTAGGGTTTAGGGTTTAGTGAGAATATCTGAGGGCGGGTGGAACAAATATGGTTTGGGTTTAGGGATGCGGGTTTAGCGTTCAGGCTTTTAGGGTTTAGGGTTTCGGGCCTTAGGGTTTTAGGGTTTAGGGGTTTAGGGTTTAGGGTCTAGGGTTTAGTTAGAATATAGGGCTCCAGTAAGGGGTGCTTTAAACGGTTTCTTGCCGGGTTACTGTAGGTAAGAGTTCCGTGATATAGAGGCCTTAACAATTAGAACCGGGTTTTGGGGGGAGGTTACAGTACATGGGTTAAAGGAACCCTCAGAACTAGCATCGGAAATGATTTAGGCACCTGCAGTAACACTTGGGTTTGCACAGCTTGCAGGGACAATCAGTGCTTGCGCAGGGTATACCAAGCATTGCTCCAAACCAGTCATGCCGGCTTACCTAATTATATAGAGGATAGGTCCCTACATTAAAGTCCCTTTTGGGGGTCCTTTTCATAAGGGTGCCGTACTATAGTGGGGACCCAAAAAGGGACCCTAATTTAGAGAACGACCCATATCGCTCCGGGGTTTAGGATCTGTACCTTAGGGGGTTTGGGTTTAGGGTTTAGGGTTTTGGGTTTAGGGTTTACGGGGGCTCGAGGATTGAAGACTTGATGGGTCTTGGGCATTTTGATGTGCGGCCTCAGGAACCTTGGCGACAGTGTCTCCGCTGTTACAACCCCACTAAGACAGGCTGAACCCCAGTTTGCCCTGCAACCTTCAATACAATCCGAAGAGTAGGATTGAAACTTGCTTCAATCTGATCCGTTGCGCCATCTTTGCAGCGATAGGGAGGTTTAAGTTGTTGCATTGCCCAGCGACGCTGCCCAGAGGTCGGTGCGACCATTGACTCACTAGGGTTTCGGGTTTAGGTTGAACCCGAATACACGCACTGCTGCAGAACAACGTCAACCCACACCTCTACACGCGAAACCCCCAAGCAATGAACCCCGAAACCATAAACCCTAAGCCCTAAATCGCCAAACACCGGAAATCATTGAACATTGAACCCTCGACCGCACACCCTAAACACCCCCCACCCCAAGGCTGGCAGACAAAGGGGGCTGACATACTGTCCGGTATTTATTCCCAAGGGGTCCTTATTCCAAGTATAACAAAACAGACCTTAGTTCCCTAAACCCTAAGTCCTAAACCCT